GAGTGACACTGTGTCAACTAAGATATGTCCTTGATTAATTACCGTTTTCGTTCTCGATACCGTATTACACATTACCTTACGATGGAAGGTGCCAAGTGTGATTGACTTACATCAAAGCCGGGCGCACCAAGTGGAATTTTCACCAAAAATCGAATTGGCGATTGGCGACGCTAGTTATCTTTGACGGCACTATTTTTTCCAAAATCATTAATTTAAGAGTCTTTGCAGATACATAAAAGTCTGCTCACACATGGACATATGAGAGCATGTATCAGCTATGTGTACTCTCATGCAGGCAATTTGTAGACCGTTTTGTGTTTTAGCGTCTCCAATAGCGACCTTTCCATTCATATACGTTACTGGATTCATTCACATGAGATATTGAGTCCCTCGAATCAATATGATTTGTAAACGATATGGTTGGTATATTTTTTATTTCAAATATGTTTTGTGAATAAAATTGAAGATATTTTTTGTAACAATGTGATCTTGCAATAGAACGTCAAGTTGGCAAAATTTTTTCTCAAAAGTTTTTTATGATTTTTTCATGGGTTATGATTCACACAAAATAGAAATTTGAACAAAAAAAGTACAAAATAGTATTTCCACTTTCGTCATTTCCTTCACGGCATAACAAAATTAATACAATCAAAAACTCTGTATAAATTATTTTTTCCTTGAGTGATGATACAATTTTTTTGGATTTTCCCGAATTTTGGCGAATACAACTAGTCGATTTGCCGTTTTTCCCGTAATTCTTATAGTTCTTGGAATTCATAATATTGACCATTTCTAAAATTGATCACATCGCTCTGAATTTCTCAGTAATTTCCCCTATAAATTCTAAAGAAACCAAAAAAAATTATGTATAACTTCTACAGAAATTTTCAAAATGTAAATTCGTGGAGATGAATCACTTGGACAGGAGTAAAAACATCGAGGCAATAATGTCGAAGATCCGTAAAAATGTTGACCATCTCGGGAGAATCTCCAGGTCGAATATCCTTTGTTAAAATTTCCTTGACAACGGCTGCTCAGGCAGTGGAGAGTTTGCCTCTCCGGGTCGTTCCTCGAGCCAGGGTCACCTGAGCCAAATACCTCTCGTAACTGGAGACATTGGATCCCTGGGTTGGTGCATCTTTTGCGTTCCTGCAATTAGCATGGGCTCGAAGAGGGACGCTGTCCCCGGACGCTCCCTCTGATTCTCCTGGAAATATTTTGGCATCTCGTCTTCCTAATCGATCTCGATCTCGATAGAAAAATCCACGACAGAAGGTATTTTAGGACATTTAACATTTCATTAGTGCCGGGAAGGTAAGTAAATTTTCCTTCCTGACGCTCGCGATTGAGAAGAGTCTCCCAGCGGCCATACAGTAATTCTAATTTAATTTGGTTAAAAAAAAAGATTTTCAACTTATAAAAATAAATAAGTGGCGAAAATACAAAATTCGGTTAACGGTCGAAGTCGTCCTAAAGTAAAAACCCCAGTTGTCGATTGCAGGTCAATTAAAATCGGAACCGTTCCTCGCCCTCAACCGCTGGCCTCATAGCCGCCTTTTTAGATCTCGATATTCAGAATCGGCTTTGTTTAGCTACTTTTGTCAACGAGCCACTTTCTGACTCATTAAATTTTCTATTTTCAGTTATCCACATCCCAAACGGAAGCCGTGCTAAACCACACAGCGGTAAAAAGTTTCCGCGTTGTAACAGTCATCACACCACCGTTTGTTATGTATGACCCAGCAACAGACACATGGTCAGGCTATTGTATCGAACTCCTACAGCACATTCAAAAGATTCTCAAATTTGAGTACGAGATACGAGAAGTAGCAGACCGTGAGTTTGGCTCAATGAGAACAGACGGCACCTGGAATGGAATGGTCAGAGAGCTCAAAGATAAACGAGCAGATATTGCACTAGGTACTTTATCTGTAATGGCGGAACGGGAGAATGTCGTTGACTTCACAGTACCTTATTACGATTTAGTGGGAATATCGATCTTGATGCAGAAGCAAAAAGCAGCGACATCACTATTCAAATTCTTAACAGTACTGGAGAACGATGTTTGGCTTTGTATATTGGCATCGTACTTCTTCACGAGCTTTTTAATGTGGTTGTTTGATAGATGGTCACCATACAGTTATCAGAACAATAAAGAAAAATACAAAAATGATGAAGAAAAGAGAGAATTCAACCTTAAGGAGTGTCTCTGGTTCTGCATGACATCGTTGACCCCTCAGGGAGGGGGAGAGGCACCCAAGAACCTTTCAGGAAGACTTGTAGCTGCCACGTGGTGGCTCTTTGGCTTCATTATCATTGCGTCGTATACGGCCAATCTTGCTGCTTTTTTAACGGTCTCTAGATTGGAAACGCCCGTTGAATCTCTCGATGATTTGAGCAAACAATACAAAATACAATATGCTCCCATCAATTCGTCAGAGGCCTATACTTATTTTGATCGCATGGCGAGGATCGAAACCAAGTTCTATGAGTAAGTTCCAAAATAGATAATCAACAGCAGGATGATAATTGGAGATATTGAAAAAAGGGGAATCCGGATAGCACTTTCAATTTTTTGTCCCAAATACCAAGGCTAGTCGCAATTTTTGTGTCTGTAACTAGTACGGATTGGCTCTAAGTGACTCGAAAGCTCTTTGCATTAAATTAATTCAACCAAGATATGCAATTACTTATTTTGGTATTTGTGTACATGGAGATGATGAAATTATTGTCTCATTTGGATTATATTTTTCTGAACACAGTAGGCGTATATAATTCTCCAAAATATGGGAACACTCAACTTGTTAAAATTTGCCCCAATTTATTACCTTCTAATTTTCTGGTATTTTTCAAGATTATGGATCAATTCATTTTCCTTTTATAATGGTGTCCTATTACAAATAAACCACAATGTTGACGGTGCGGATTCTCTATAATTGTCCATGAATCGTGAAATATTTTCGTGAATCCAACTACGGCAATTATCCAGGTTAAATTTCCGTCACTGACAATTACGATAATTAAAAAAAAATAGTTGTAAATTGCAGCGAAAACAGAAGTGGGAATTACTTTCTCTTGCAATAACAATGACTTCAATTAGATGCAGTCGCAAATTGAACATAAATATCTTCAAGATACGCGATAACGTATCTGCCAAGTTGACGTCACAGGCAGAGGTGACGTCACAGGCAGAGAGCTGTCGTGTATTATATTTCAGCTAACAACTCGCCCCTAACCCCTTAAAGAAACTTCAATTGCCTTTTTCCCCTTTAAACGCACGCTATTTTGCAAAAGCATTCTTAGATACTGTTTG